AAGTCCATCTAAAATCTAAGGTCGAATTCGAACCTCAACACTCTCGCTAAAGGTCGAGTTCAAACCTTAATTAAAAAGTCCATCTAAAATCTAAGGTCGAATTCGAACCTCAACACTCTCGCTAAAGGTCGAGTTCAAACCTTAATTAAAAAGTCCATCTAAAATCTAAGGTCGAATTCGAACCTCAACACTCTCGCTAAAGGTCGAGTTCAAACCTTAATTAAAAAGTCCATCTAAAATCTAAGGTCGAATTCGAACCTCAACACTCTCGCTAAAGGTCGAGTTCAAACCTTAATTAAAAAGTCCATCTAAAATCTAAGGTCGAATTCGAACCTCGGTTTATTAAGGTCAAGTTTGAACCCTCACGAAGCTCTAAGGTCGAATTCGAACCACATAATCCAAGGTCGAATACGAACCTCGACACTCTCGTTAACGGTCGAGTTCGAACCTTAATCAAATCGTTTCACTCAAAATTTAGGTCGAGTACGAACCTCAGCTCAATCTTTCAAATTGGAGGTCAAACTTAAACCTCCACGAAAATCCAAGGTCGAGTCCGAACCTCGTGCTCTCAAGATCAAATCTGCAGCCTCATGAAAGTTTCAGAGAACAGACATCAGAATGCATACACAACGGAAATCGAGCACAAGCGCAACTCAATCGTTTCCCTCAAAGTTGAGGTCGAGTTCGAACCCCGACACCCTCACCTATGATCGGATACAAAACCTAACATATTAATCTAACGACGAGTGCGAACTCTCAATGGGTCACTCAAACTTAGGCCGCATCCAAAGCATACCAGGGACATCAAACATATGTCTCAAAGCACGCAAGTGTCGAAAATCAGACGAAGTCGCAGATGAAGAAAAACACATATATACATAGAAGCAAAGTTTCCAAGGTTCAATACATAAAGTCAGGGAAAGGAAAACATAAAGAAAAAAAGAGAACAAGAACGGCCTAGGCTGAGGCATTCCCACTCGAACTGTCATCGACATCATCCTCCCTGACCAGCCTCCCAAAGCGGATGACCTTTTCCACATGCAAGGAGGAGAAGTCGAACCTGGGAGCCAGGAGACGTGCCTGACGAGCAGCCTATTGAAAGCCTCTCTTGTGCTCCATCACAATGGAGCGTTCGACCTCCGCGAGCCTCTTCTCCGTGGCCGCTTTCCTCGCCGCCAGCTCCCCAAGCTCCGCCTTTAAGGTGGCAATCTCGTCCTCACGGCCACCAAGAATGACCTCGCTACGGAGGCGCTCCTCAGCCGCCGCCGCCAACTCTCCCTTAAGGGAGGTCACAATGTCCTCCAGAGCCCGCACTTGGCTGCGAGAAGACATCACCTCATCCTCCAAAGAGCGAGCGCGACCCCGAGAGAAGGCGATGAGCTCTTGCAACTCCCCCACCTGGGAGGCATAAGCCTCGTTGGATCGTAAAGCGATCTCAAGAGACTTCTGCACCCTTACAAGATCGCCTTGCGCAGACCGAAGCTCCACCTCCTGCCACTTCGCCTCACCAACAGCAACACTGAGAGCCTTGTTCTCCTCCCTCAGGATCTTATTTGCATCCTTCCAGGGTTGAAGTCGACCCCTCAGCTTGGCCAGCTCCTGTTGCTGCTTGGCCAGCTCCTCTTGCTGCTTGGCCAAGTCCTCCTGCTGCTTGACCCACCTCGGCTTCCAGTGGTCTAGGATGCCCATAGCCCTCTGCAGCAGGACCTGAGCAGCATCAAAACTATCCTCGGGGTCGACCTCCTCTATCAGTTCCTAGTCCTCGGAGCTCAAAGAACCTTGAGGGAAGAACTTCTCAACGGTCACCCCCGAGCCCCATAGGGAGTCCAGGTCGGCCGAGGCGCTCACATGGTCCAGCCGCACCTTTGGAAGGCCCCCCCGAAGCGATGGGCCAAGGATCAGCTCCGGGAAGCCCCCTGTGACGAGCCAGACGGCGGCGCCGAAGCTGCAGCGGGGGACGAGGGAACCTCTGACCTCGCCTAAGAAAATCAGCCCCATGTCAAAAAAGAGATAAGATGACAAACAGGAAACCACGAAAGTCAGGGAATACGCCTTCCCTCAGCAGCAGGAACACCCTGCTCGGTGGCTGGAACCGCCACCTCGGCAGCCTGGGCGACCTGCTCAGTAGCCAGAATCGCCACCTTGGCAGCCCGAACCACCTCCTCAAAAATCGATCCTTTGCAGATAATCATAATGATTTGGGTGCATTGTGTCCTATGTTGGAGCAAATTTTGACAGTCCATCATAATGATGGCCTAAATTTAGAGCAATGTGCAGTTTATGGTTTTGCACACATGTGCGTAGTAAAAATAAATCAAATTAAATACTTTAATTCAAAATGCAATAAATGTTTTGTTTCTTAAATAATAATAATAACAAATCTACTTTTATTTCCTTAACCCTCCAACATTTGCCAATGCTTATAGACTAAACTAAGACCAACAATACACAGCCAGGTCAGTATCCAAATTATAAATAGTCTAAAGCAGACTTTATTTTGTATCCATATTCTGTTCAGTATTGGTTTTGGTCCTTTTAAAATCATTCACAGATTTATCAAAAGTTCCCCTAACATGCTGGCACACATGCATCAGTTCCTGGCATCCATCTTTTAACACCTCTTTTGCCGGATCCCCTGAACATGAACATTGAACAGAAAATTGCAATGTCAAAGCAGATTGTAATAGATAATAAGTTTTATGCAAACATCAGATTCAGAAAGGTACTTTAAGATGCTCTATCTTTACACTGACCCTATCATTTTTTCCCCTGCAGTGATTATAGTGCATTACCTAAACCCTATGATATCCACAAAAACATCTCAAGTTCAACGTCAACAGAGAAAACCATGAGAAAATTTTTAGTATCATGATATCTAGTGTGATAAATTAAACTTGCTTTGACAATTTTAGTATCATTAGATGCCAAATGTCATGTAAACTATCTAACAAAACTAGCAAAAATATAGGTCCAGCAGCATATATAGATTGTGTAGCAGACTATAAAACTTGTGATTGTAAAAAAGGGCAATCCAGTGCAAAAGGACCCACATCCTTATACACATCCATGTTGAAAGACTTTTTCCAAGATTTAAACCTATAATAACCTCAAAACCTTATAGTTGGTTCAAGGCTAGCCCTTCATTTGTGATTGTGTTAATGGAAATAGAGATTGCAGCACTTGTCGTGGCACAAATTTGTTGATTGCAGTTATTTTGTGTGGACTAACAACTCAAAACATTTCATGTGTTGTTACCTGTTGTCTGGACTCTGATATTTACACGATTATCTGAAGGATGAGGAATGCTGTACCCGCAAAATGTCACTCTTGGACTGCAAAACAATATTGATGACCTCAACTTATCAGGATATAGTGAACTGAACCCACGATAAGGAAGAAAGGAGGCACACAGAGAGACATTTCAAAGCCAAACAAAACTTGACATTTCTCATAAGTACAAAAAAGGAAAATGAAAAGTAAATCACTCCAAATATCTTCCTTTCAACTACTAAATTGATACCAAGCTAATCCTTTGGCTTCTTCCCTTCCTTTCCACAACCAAAAACCATTCCAAACAAAGGCTCAAACTTAATTTAACAAGCATCAAAATGGATTAATCAATTATTTCCTAAATAAAGTATACAATGAAATCAATACAAATAAAGATTTATATGTCTTAATCTTAGGTCTCTTCCTTCTTCAAAGAATGCAAGGAAGAGAGTAGTAGGGATACGTCAACCTATTTGTTGTTTCATAACACAAGGATACGGATTATGTTCATTTCACGATCCTTTGCAGATAATCATAATGATTTGGGTGCATTGTGTCCTATGTTGGAGCAAATTTTGACAGTCCATCATAATGATGGCCTAAATTTAGAGCAATGTGCAGTTTATGGTTTTGCACACATGTGCGTAGTAAAATGATTTTGCATCTTTGTGACCAAGCAGTAAACTCATCATTGCCGAGTTCCTCAGCTCGGGCACGAAATATGGACATCGGAATACGACATCGACCCAAAGAGGCCACGTCACCAAACAGATAAAAATACAATTTTGTTACCACGCCGCCTGCCGGTTCTCGAGAACGAGGCGACAGTTGCAACACATGGAATCTTGACAGGCAAGCATGCGCGAAAGGCCACTGCTCCCTGACGAGCCTGGTGTTAACTCCTCGACCTACGGTCTTCGGAGCTCGGGGGGCTAGTGTACTATCTGTACTGCGTAACCGAGCTCCGAGCTCGGCACCATAACGCAAGCTAACCTCGGACATGCACCGCGTGACATCAGCTCAGTATTTAAGCGAATCATAACTGATCCCCGAGGATCTCGCCCCGGACGAGGTCCGTTATCTAATCATATTACACCTCATCTCAGGCCCAAGGCCCAAAGCAACCCTAATTCACACTAAGGTACGTGCATTACATATACGAGATTCATACTCCCAAAAACACTAACTTTAGCATCGGAGTCTCTGTTGCAGGTACCTCCCCCATCTTGGAGCACCAGCATACCCGTGAAGGAGGCTCACCGATCTTACCTAGCGGATCAGCTCTACAGCAGATTTCCGGTAAGAACAATAATGGTTGAGGTATTTGATACATTTAGATAGCCAAGATATATTCGATCTTATATGATTGATGTGCTTCTAAAAATAATAATATAATTTTATTGATTTTGTTTGTTATCCATAGTTATTTATATAGGTAGTTTTCAACATATATTGTTTTAGTAATTCAAATGGGATATTCACAAGGAAATAATAAAGGAAAAGGAAAAGAGAAAGAAAACTATGAAGCTTGGACCAAGGAGGATTCCGATTAATTGTTACAATTGATAGTGGATGCTATAAAAAATGGGCTAAATGATGCTAATGGGGCAATTAGCAAACTAAATGTGGAGAGAGTTATCCTTCCTCGTCTCAATGCTAAAATTAATTTCCCTAAAATGTATAATCATTACTTGAGTCAAATGAAGTGGTTTAAGAAACAATATAACAATATGTCAACACTTATGCACAACAATTCTGGCTTTGGGTGGGATCCAATTACAAAGACATTCACTGCTAGTGATGAAGTATGAAAAGAGTACTTAAAGGTGAGATTACTTCATAATCTTTTGAATATATTAATAGTTTACAAGTTTAGTTTATTATATTATTTTCAATATGTAAATAATGGATTCTTTTTCTAGCCTCACCTAAGTCACAAAGATCTTCGAGAAAAAAGTATGCTTGATTATGAGGATTTGAAGATTGTTGTTGGGGGTAAAACTGTTAGTGGGAACACTTCCATGTCACTAGACCCTAATGATATTGATCCTACAACTTTTGAAGAAAATGTTGATTTTGGGATAGAAAACTTTTCATATGATCTTAACAATGATGTATTCATAACACCAGATCACTATGAACCACCTTACCAGCCTCCATCACCTCACCCAAGTATTTCACGACCTCAACCCCCTTTAAGCTTAGAGGATCCTACTGAAAAACCAATTAATCATAAGTGGAGTAGGCCTAAGTATGGAGTGAGTTCTAACTTAGTTGGGAACAATAATCAAGCCAAAGTTCTAGAAAATCTATCTGTAGGCATTGAGACTATAGTCGCCAATTTTGAAAAAATGTCTAACTTGATGGAGAAAAAAGAAAGATACCAAGAGGCAAAAGGAAATATTTGGAGTGCCATAAAAGAGATCCCAAATTTGGATGATTGAAATCGTTACATAGTGGCTGATTTGCTTAATACTAATGGAAAGAAAGACTTTTCTTGATGTTGTCAACAGAAGAGCGTTCTGATTGGATAAAGTACATGCTAGGATGAAAAATATTGTTTTGGTGTTATTTCGGTTGCACTTGATTTTAGTATTTTCTTTATAATTTAGTTGTGAATGAACACATGTTGGATTTGTCAAGCTATATCCTTTTGGTGTTATTTTGGTTGCACTTGATTGAAGTGTTTGCTTTATATTTTGGTTTTGTATAAACATATTTTGAATGGTGAAATTATATTGTTTTGGTGTTAGTTTGGTCGTACTTGATTGAAATATTTTAGCATGTTTTATTTTTTTATTATATTATTATTTTTAGTTATATTGTTTTATATAGGTACAATATCACATTCGAGCATGTATGAAAGTAGTGACATAGATGAAGAAGCAATGGGTCTGTTCAACAAGAAAAGAAAGTGTCCAGTCATGGTACCTGGACAGTAGATGCTCGCGACACATGACGAGCGAAAAGGGGAGAAATATGGCTTGATTTGTTTTTGATAACGCCAAAGGGGGAGAAAGGTTGTTGTCTGTGTATGGTTTTGTAGGTTTTATGTTCTGCAAGTGTTGAAGCCTAGTTTGGTTTGTCATCATCAAAAAGGGGGAGATTGTTGAGACTAGGGGAGTCTGAACTTGATAAGGGTCACCTCTGAAGCTTAAAGAGTTTTGATGATCACAAATGTGTGTCAAGGACAACAACAAACAACAACAACTTAGAAGGAAAAAACAAAGTCAAAGAAAGTGCTATGTAATAGGAATTAGTGTATAAATTTTTTTGAATGAGTTTACTTGTTATGTGTGCTGTGTGCATAAGCTAAATCTATATCTAAACTAATTAGAGAGTGTATGATGACGAGTTAAAGGGACTGAAAAGTTATTTTGAGACATAATCGATTATCATTAAATATAATCGATTATTCCAGCAACAGGCAAAATGGGATGCCTTGCTGCAATAATCAATTATTTGTGAAATAATCGATTATCCCAGAAATGGCTCTCTAGAACTTAAATCACAAATTAACTTTCTTGTACAGTAACTATAAAATTGCTTTTCAAGTTTGTTCATATAATAATAATAATAATAATAATAATAATAATAATAACCCTTAAGTTCCATTAATTACTGACAGGTGACAACCAAATTGCAACCTGATGTTATCCTAGTTAACACAACCTTTAGGAACAAAAACTGAACACCTATGGTTACACTAAGCAATAGCATCGTAAGCATCTCAATGAAAATAAGTCCACACAGAACTGGCATCCAATTAAAGAAAAAAGAAAAAAATTATCAATGTTTGCTAAAATTTTGCACTCTTTGTACTTTGCAAATGTCACTGTGTGGACAGAACCCATTAGTACCAATAAGCTAAAGATCGAAACTTTGATGATATTGATCACGTCTTTAATCAAATAAAATACACATCAAAAAATACAAAAGGACACACACGTGTGTGTGGAATTGAGGAAAACCCCTTACTCGTGGCAAAACCAAGTAGAACACAATGTCAGTGCTTCAGGTGCAATTTTGATTCGATAATCGAAGCAGGTAAATATAGGTTTTCACTTTTTTGGTCCACGGGTGTTAGGGTTTTTATTGTGTTCGGGCCACAAAATTGGATTTGTGTAACTTTTTCTCTTTTTCACCCTCTTCTTTTTTCTTTTCTTTTTTTAATCTTCTCTTTGTGAATATTGATGTAGATTATTAAATACTAGGAAAAAAAAATACTTCATGCCTTATTGATGCTATATGAAATGTGTGAAAATTACAAAATCTTTGTTGTTGAGTTTGCAATTTATCAAGGAGCAAAATGATTTTAGATAGATAATTTTTTTAAAATTAATAAAATAAAATTATTAAATTATCCTATACTAAAAGAAAAAATGTGTAGTTATCATAATAAATAAAGGATAAAAATATCTTAAAAAATGTGTATCAAAACACAATGTATCATCTTTATATATTATTAAACATTTTAACTTACTTTTGAATTATTAAATATTTATGATTTATGAATATTTTTAGTTTCTATAAAATAAGTGATTTTTAATTTTAATCCTTGCAAAATGTTTTCTTTTTTTTTTCATCATTTAAGAGTTTTTAAACATTATTTTTAATTCTTGTAAAACATTTTTGGTCTTTAAAGTAAGTTAATTTTGAATTTGGTCCCACTAAAATACATTTTTATTTTTTTTTATTTCTAACAATGATTTTCAGATAGATAAATAATATATATTTTAAGAACCTATAATGAATTTAGAGTTATCAATACTAACATGATACTACTTTAAGTAACACTTGAGATGGTTACTTAACATTTTGATAAATAAATAATTAGTTAAAAATGATTATATAATGACATGGTCTAAATTTATAGGGATAAAAAGTAAAGAAATATTTTTAGAAAACTAAAATTAAAATCTATTCATTTTACTGAGACTAAAAATATATTTAAATTAATATTTAAAAATGATTGATATTTATTTTTGACAAATTTTAACATTTAAAATTCAAAATTTTTAGCATATATCTAAATCAAAATTTGAATATGATGGAAATTACCTTCTCTAAATTAAGTATTTTAAAATTTAAGAAATTTAAATTTAACTATTTAAAAAAAATAAATAAAAGATATCTAAATAAAAAAAATCAAATTTAAAACATTTCAAGTTCCTTGAAATGTTAACATTAATCATCCAAATACAACTTAGAAAAAAAAAAACATCGAGTTATTTACAAAATTAATATCCTCAAAAGAGAAAATCGATAGAACATTGAAAAATATATGATGAGGTGATGAAGAAAGTGAAAGCTTCATTATCTAATACATGTCAAAAATCAATTTAAAAATAATTAAAATTTCTTTATATTGTAAAAGAATGTGTAAATATATATAAAATTTGTGTGAATATTTTGGAAATCATAAGAAAATGTCATAAATTTAAAAATATTTTTTCATCACAAAATGTCTAGTGAAATCCATCGAACACCTTTTGTGGTGGTTGTTCATCTCAAATGGAAGTGAAATTTCATATTTATTTGGCAAAAAGTAATTAAAATATTAGTTATTAAAAATTATATTTATTTTTCTTTTCTTCAAACTTTATCATTGTTATTTTTTTCATTGACTCTTAAAACTTTGATTTTTTTTGAAAAAAATGTGAAGTATTCATAATAATAATAATAATAATAATAATAATAATAACCCTTAAGTTCCATTAATTACTGACAGGTGACAACCAAATTGCAACCTGATGTTATCCTAGTTAACACAACCTTTAGGAACAAAAACTGAACACCTATGGTTACACTAAGCAATAGCATCGTAAGCATCTCAATGAAAATAAGTCCACACAGAACTGGCATCCAATTAAAGAAAAAAGAAAAAAATTATCAATGTTTGCTAAAATTTTGCACTCTTTGTACTTTGCAAATGTCACTGTGTGGACAGAACCCATTAGTACCAATAAGCTAAAGATCGAAACTTTGATGATATTGATCACGTCTTTAATCAAATAAAATACACATCAAAAAATACAAAAGGACACACACGTGTGTGTGGAATTGAGGAAAACCCCTTACTCGTGGCAAAACCAAGTAGAACACAATGTCAGTGCTTCAGGTGCAATTTTGATTCGATAATCGAAGCAGGTAAATATAGGTTTTCACTTTTTTGGTCCACGGGTGTTAGGGTTTTTATTGTGTTCGGGCCACAAAATTGGATTTGTGTAACTTTTTCTCTTTTTCACCCTCTTCTTTTTTCTTTTCTTTTTTTAATCTTCTCTTTGTGAATATTGATGTAGATTATTAAATACTAGGAAAAAAAAATACTTCATGCCTTATTGATGCTATATGAAATGTGTGAAAATTACAAAATCTTTGTTGTTGAGTTTGCAATTTATCAAGGAGCAAAATGATTTTAGATAGATAATTTTTTTAAAATTAATAAAATAAAATTATTAAATTATCCTATACTAAAAGAAAAAATGTGTAGTTATCATAATAAATAAAGGATAAAAATATCTTAAAAAATGTGTATCAAAACACAATGTATCATCTTTATATATTATTAAACATTTTAACTTACTTTTGAATTATTAAATATTTATGATTTATGAATATTTTTAGTTTCTATAAAATAAGTGATTTTTAATTTTAATCCTTGCAAAATGTTTTCTTTTTTTTAAAAATTCTGTGAGGAACATGCTATAAACCATAATTTCTCAACACCTAGGACCCCTCAACAAAATGGGGTTGTTGAGAGGAAAAATAGGTCTTTAGAAGAACTTGCTAAAACAATGTTGAATGAGACAAAATTGCCAAAATATTTTTGGGCTGATGCTATTAACACAGCTTGTCATGTGTTAAACAAAGTTCTGATCCGGCCTATATTAAAGAAAACACCCTATGAAATTTACAATGGAAGGAAGCCTAACATTTCATATTTTAGAGTGTTTGGGTGTAAGTGCTTTGTGCTGAACAATGGGAAAGAGCAACTTGGAAAATTTGATGCAAAGGCTGATGAGGCAATCTTTTTAGGATACTCTACAAATAGCAAAGCCTATAGAATCTATAACAAGAGAACTCTAGTTGTAGAAGAATCTGTCCATGTGGTATTTGATGAGTCTAACAAACAAGAGACAAGGCAAACTGAAATTGAAGACTTGACTGATTTGCTTGATCAACCTCTATTGGAAAGTGAAACTAATAATAAGCCTAAAGAGAGTGAATCACATGAAAACACAAAGGAAACAAGTGAACAATTGCCTAAGGAATGGAAAACTTCTAGGGACTTATCAATGGATAACATAATTGGAAATATTGGTAAGGGAGTCTCAACTAGGAGTGCCATTAAGAACATTTGCAACACTATGGCTTTTGTGTCACAAGTTGAACCTAAAAGTATTGATGAAGCACTAAAAGATGAACATTGGTTAATGGCCAT